AATCAAAGCCCTTGTCAACCTATTATTGTTGTAGGAATCCCATACTATCCTTTCACTCAATTTATCTCTGAATTCCCATTTTCTGAAAAAACCAAAAAAACAGAAAAACAAAAAAACAAAAAAACCTGGTGATTCTCATAATCATCAAAGAGAAATTAATTCTGGGTCTGGAATTTTTTCGTATCAATCTAGGTCAACCTAATTAAAGCTGAGAAAGGAAGATTGTGTGTGTGTGTGTGTGTGTGTGTGTGTGTGTGTGTGTGTGTTTGAGTGAGTGGAGATCTTTCCTTTCTGGCATGATTTGCTTACAATTGCTTTTAAGACTCTACTGACTAATGCCCCTGATACTAAATTGCTAACACTTGCAAATAAAAAGAATTCCAGCATCGTAATCGGAGCTCCTATCAGCCCCAGCTGAATGCTAAATGAGCTTGGACAGGGCGCCATTCATGGACATGATGCTGAGTTTTATCCAGGGTCTCCAAGGGAGCCATACAGATTTGATGTGTTAAGGCAGTGCACAGGCAAAGCCCATTGGACTGTGAAGGAGATCCGGGCTCCAGCCCCTGGCCCTCTACTTCTTTACTGGGTAAACTTGGGCTAGTCACTTGCCCTTGCCTGTTCTCAGTTTCCCCATCTGCTGAGTGGTCCTCTATTAAGCTAGAGCACAGGCTTTCCGTTTGTGTTCTCTGGAGTGCTGGGGCAACCCTGGGAAAGGGCTGGCTCTTTGAATCAGATGAGTCTTGAATGAAAGATGAGTAGAAGACAAGGAAAGATCTCCAGAGACAAACACTCGCAACCTTGTCCCTTGTCACGCTATCTCTGCTCTCTTATTTTGTATTGTAGTGGAGGTGGGATACTAAGCCCTGTAAATCAGAGAAAGAGCCTGTAATTAGGCACAGCATGGGCAAGCAGGTAGTCTCCCCCCATCCTCCTCGGGGCTGGAAGCTGGCAATCTGCTTGCTTCCCATAAGCAAAGTCCCTTTGCTTTCTTGCTTCTTGGACAAAGCTGACCTGGTGGATCCAAGAATGCTGGGGCAGCCTCTAGAGGTGAGAAACAAAGCAATGATGGAAGTAGGAAGTGAGGATACTGGGAAGAACTATCTGGGGTTGGAGCCATTTACACCTGAAGGAGAGAAGCCTAAGGAGTAAAGTGGGGTAGATGTGTGTCAGACACCAGCTGCTCAGGGTTTTGAGGATATTATTACTTCCTTCGTAACTTCAATTTGGTCACTTTTATCCAATCCAACCTTTCTATCCACCCATCCATCCACCCACCCATCATCCACCCATACATCCACTCACCCTCTAGCCTCCCCACTCACCTCTAGCCTACCCATCTTCACTTACCCACTCCTGTCACCAACTTGTTCAGTTATTTGGTTCAACCACTTCCTCTTTCTCTCTTTTATTAATTTATCCTTCCAGTCATTTTATAAACATCTGTGGAGACCTTACCATGTATCCAGAAGACAGAGGAGAGTGAACTATTCAGCAAACTTGTAGCCCTAAAGATGTAAACTGTTGGGCAAGCAGTTCTGAGAGGTGATCATCCTATAAGAAGGGGCAAAGTGCTCTTAGATTCAGCAGAGGGAGGAGCTTGGGGAGCAGATCAAGGAGCCAAAGAAAAACTGGCTTCTGAGAAAGGTGTTTATCAGCTGGATAAGTGGGGCAAGGGTTAATTTTTTTGAGATGGGGAAGATGTTTCCAGTTTGAGGAGCTGAGGCCATGCTTATCCTTTTACAGATAATATCAGCTTTCCTTTCTCTTCTTGCTCCTTACAAGCCTCAAAAAAAGTCTAGATTATTCATCTCAAATTTCTAGGCTGATGACATACAAGTTTAATTCAACAATGGATTGTTCTTGTTCAAAACATTGGATGAAAAAAGAAACATTCAAAGACAAATCATAGCAGCTCATGCAGGAAGATACTGTAAATCTTACTCTGTGGGGTATCCTCTGTGTGTGAGAACCCAACACACCATTTGCCACTGGTTCCTTTTGTTGAGAGGCCAGGTGTGTGTGTGTGTGTGTGTGTGTGTGTGTGTGTGTGTGTGCATGTGTGTGTGTGTGTTTCTGGATGATTTTGTTTCAAGTAGACCATTTCTTCTGATTTGGAATTCTTTTGCTGAAGTAGTCTTTTATGTGCTGGCATTGTGACATTGTCACAGAGCTTGACACTTAAGCACTCAACGTTCATCAAATATTCTACTCATCAAATATTCATTAAGCTCCTTCTGTCTTCCAGGCCTGGCACAAGATACGGGTGCAATACAGTGGAGAAACAGACTGATTCTTGCCCTTAGGGGCCCTGCAGCCTAGGGCTGAGGTTGGCAGTAGTGTTTTGCAGAGTGCTGGGGAGCAGAAGCTTCAGGCTTTGTGGACCATGGGGTCTCTGTGACAGCTCCCTCAGTGTAAGCAGCTCTAGCTATGGTGTGAAGAGCGAGCATGGCTGTGCTCCCAGAGGACTTTGTTGACTAAAACAGATTTGGCCCCATCTGCAGTTTTCTGATCCCTAGACTAGTTGGTTAGACAGGCAAGTCACTAAGACAATTACAAAATAGCATTTTCTGGGAGCACACAGTGGTGGCCCGAGCTAGGCATGGGTGGGGTGTGGAGGAGGTAAATGTAATCTAGAGGAGCAGGTGAGTGGACCTGAGAAGGCACTGGTGTGTGGGGGACTCGGCTTGCACTGCTGCCCATTTGCAAAGAAGGCTGAAGCTCAGAGGAGGTTTGTGGGGTGGTGGGATGCAGGGAAGATGGGATGGGTGAGGTAAACGGTGGTGAGGGATGGTATGCCACTGACAGGGGTAGCCTCTTGTTTTATTTGTCTTGTTTTAAAAGACCCAACCCTGACATCTTAGCAGGCCTCTAGCTGGCATCTGGTTGTGGGAGGTGCAGTTCCTCACTGGGTGGTTTGGTCTTCTTCCCCTGGTGCCCTGTGGCTGGTCCAGGAGGGAGGATATTCGGGAAGAGGGCGCAGGACAAAAGAAGCCACTGTTTAAAAAGAAACAGAAGCAAAAACAAAACCAACACAGTATCAACCAACACGGAGCCAGGGTAATTAATGATGCTGCCCAAGGCTGAAGTTGCACACTCATGGGCACTGTGCAGAGCATCAGGTGCTATCCTGGGTGTGAGGTCAGCCTTGTAAATGCCTTGGCATAGCAGGAGCGAAGACACTGCAATGCGTCTCTCTCTCCCTTTGTTCCCTTTGCGTCTTGCCTCATTTCCCATTTGTCTGCTAAATGCCCAACACCTGCAACTCTAAGGAGGCGAGGGTTATTTTGGCTCGTGGTTACCATTGGTTGGCTCGAAGGTGATTGTAGAAGGGCCTGGGCAGAGGCAAGTTGCTCACCTCATGGCAGCCAGGAAGCAGAGACGGAAGGGCAGACTGGAGAGGGAGAATAAATTCCCGGTGAGTACAGTGCTGCTGTAAGCCAATCATCTACCAAATGCAAGAGGCTTTTGGGGGGCATTAGATCTAAACCTTATCACCCTCTCTTTATGCTGGCCTTGTGGACCAGGATTATGGAGTGTTCCTGGCTGTGGCACTTAGTAGGAAAAGGCCAGGGTTGTTGCTAAACCCCTGCCAACATGCAAGACAGCTTTGAATGTCAATAGTGTTGAGGTCAAGAAGATGGTTTACATCCACCTGTCCTCTGTTCACCTTACACTGTCTTCACTGGACTCTTGTTAGCTTCTGGATCTGTCTCTGCCTCTTTGCATCTCTGCTTCCTTTTGTCTAGATCATTCTTTGTCTCTCTCTCTCTCTCTGCCCTGAACCCTGGTAAGCACCCCCAACCCAAGTAATATACCTCTGCTTCCTTGAAAAGTTATAGGAGCCCCCTAGGTTGAATGAATTACTTCCTTCATCCAGAGCCCACTGGACATAATTCATGTCTATCACAGCCCTTACACCATTCCAATGTCAGAAGTGTTATTATTAAAGTATCTGTGTTATGTCTCCTATTCATTTATGAGCTTCTTTAGTATCCAGACTGTGTCTGTTGAATGAATGAATGAAATGTTGAACATAATAAATGTTCAAAACATTCCCTCTTAGGTTATGTGCTTTTCAGGGATCAATACTCTACTGTCATGACCCACATTTTTCTTTGCTTGTTCTTTGCCTCACTCATCTTCCAGGTAAATTTTATTCAGACAAACTTCAAACTTTTCTGAAACTCAGAAGTGATTTGTGTTCCTGACTCGATTTCAATTCATATTTTCAGCATTTTCACATTCAGTAACATTTTCCATTTCACAGTAAATCTACCAATTTGGATCGAGCACGACTTCCTTCTATGCTTCCCCATGACACAATTACTGTCACCAGTCAGGGGTTGTCTCTTATAGGAGTGGAAGTTAGTGCTTCCCCTGTGTGTCCACCAGTGTAAAATGGGCATTTGAACTGTGATTGTGTCTTACTGGAGCTGCGTTGTTCCCCACAGAGAGAGTGATCAAGGTCCAGTGAACCGAGGACTTGAGTTACTCTCTATTTGTGCCGAATCTCTGGTGGCTCAGATACCTGGCTTGTAAAAGCTGCTGAGTGGCTGTCTGTTGAATGCGTCCTAACGCATGAAGTATTCTAAAGCTTGGGTTTGTCAAACCAAGACCATTTGAGAACTGGAGAAGCAGTGGGAAAAACACAGATTTTGTGTCCTATGAGCTTGAAATATGGTCCCAGTCATACCTAACTACACAAGCCCTCGGGTTTGTGAGCCTTGGTTTCTTCATTTTTATGATGGATCTGAGTTATGTCTATCACTCAGGGTTGTTGTATAAGATAATTAGCACATAGTAGGCTCCTTCCAGCCCTGAAACCTGGGATCCAATAAGAGTCATCTATTACTAGTAATAGCACATCCAACTGGGGCAGATCACTCCATGGAACCGATCAGATACTGAGGGCCATTCAGACCAGCATGACCACCACTTCAGTCAGGGACTTTTCTAGGTTCCCCTCCTGAGCACTGTTCTTGAATTTCTTTGTGCAGAGGGAAGTGCAGACACGTCTGTGATGTGTAGCTCCTCCCGTCTGTGGGCACAAGAACCTGCATGTTGGAGGAAGAGGAGAACTTAGACACACCCTGAGTCATCTCCGTGCACACAGGAGCTGGAGGCGCAGAGAGGTAAAGTTACTTGCTCCAGGTCACACAGTGGTTAGTAGCAAAGGCTGTAGTTAATCAAAGCTCTCCCGGCTCCAAGCCCTCATTCCTTTTTCTCTGCTGAGAGGCCAGTGGTTTGCAATTTGTTCTTTAGTGGCCAAAGCACAAATGTTATTAGAATTGAACCTATAGAGACTCACACAGCACCACTTTCTGCAGCATTAAATTAAGTTTCTGATTCAGCTCTCTGGGGCATGATAGTCCCTCATGAGAATGGAGTGGGCACAAGAAGTGTTTCTAGAAAATGTTTCTTGGTATAATGCTTCACAGGAACCAGCTCCAGCCTGGCTGAGATGTCTTTGTACTCCAAGATCAGCTGTGGACTCACAACCCTTTGATGATGGAGCCACTTCCCCGCAGGAAAACACCAGCACCTACAATCCATGCAGGCCTCAGCTCCTGGCCCCCCTTCCATGGCCTCTCTCCCAGTTCTGAGAGAGGGCCCCCTGAATTCCCACAGTTGACTTGGAGCTTGAAATCTGGTCCCAATGATATGTAAGTACACATATGTCTTCAGGCTGTGAGCCTCAGTTTCTTCATTTTTCTGCTGGATCTGTCTTATACCTATCTCTTAGTGTTGTCTTATAAGAGAATGATGCACCTCAAAAGGCCTGGAACTTCAGAGGGAGGCTTGCACTCTCTGAATTCAGAGTCCAGCTCCATTACTGAGTGATCATGGGCAAATCATTCAGTGTCTCGACCTCCCAGTTTCCTCATCTGTAACATGGGAATACACTACTCCATAGAGTTGTTGTGAAAATCAAGTGAGTCAAAGACAAAGAGCACTTCGAAGAATGTTTGGTACACAGTGGATGCTCGATAAATGTATGAAATATGATCTAAATGTACAGTGAATGTTTAAACAAAAAATTATTATAGTAACAGACATGTTGACACTAACCAGTGCAAAATATTCCCCCTTCACTTTATTTTTCAATTTTTAAATTTTTTTTTGATCTTTTTCAGATGGGTCTCTCTATGCAGTTCATGCTGGCCTTGAACTCACTTTGTAGCCCTGTCTGGTCTCAAACTTGCAATGATCCTCCTGCCTCGGCCTCCTGAGTGCTGGGATTACAAGTGTGCGCTACCACATCCAGCATCCCACCTCACTTTAAACACTCTTATCCCATCATTCTTGCCACTTTCTGAAGTAGTTCTAGAAGTCCTCTTTCCTGAGTGTCTCTATGAGATGTGATAAAAAATGCAGCGACTGCTGCTGCTGAGTGCCATCCAACAGAAAGTCAGGCTCATAAAACATGGTGGCGTGTCCTCATCTACCTTTTTCACTGGATTTGGCTCTTTCCAAAGTCAAGATGAGCGTGAAAGTTCCATGTTTTGAGTTTATTTGGGACATCAAGGCAGCTACAACAGCACCACTAAAGACACTCATGAAAGAGGACTTGCAGAACTGCTTTGCAAATAACAAGAACAATGGGATAAGTGTGTTTGGGGTGGAGGGAGCCTATTTTGAGGGGGATTCATGGCAAGGTGTCTTTTACTGTGATAAATTTTTAAAAAGTATTTTTAAACATTCACATTTTTGATTACATGTTTTTCTTCTTCTTCTTCTTCTCCTTCTCCTTCTCCTCCTCCTCCTCCTTCTCCTCCTCCTCCTCCTTCTCCTCCTCTTCCTCCTTCTCCTCCTCCTCCTCCTTCTTCTTCTTTTTCTCCTTCTTCTTCTTCTTCTTCTTTTTCTCCTTCTTCTTCTTCTTCTTCTTCTTCTTCTTCTTCTTCTTCTTCTTCTTCTTCTTCTTCTTCTT